TTGCAGCATTTCTAATTTCTACTTAAAGGTACATACAGCATTCTTTAATTCATTCTATTTCTTTAGTATAATTAATTTCACTTTCACACAATCAAATGAGCCAGAGAAGGACAGGGAGAGAGGAGAATGCGGGCCAAGGAGATAATAACTTCAGCTTTTACTTTGCTGTGAACTTTTATTCTCTCCTCCTCTCTTCTCACCTCTCAGGACAGAAAAGGAATGGGCTGTTTCATTGCTTTTCAGAGCCACCGGGAGGTGAGGCATGCATCCAGGAGGGCACTGATGGTCAGCCACGTGGTCCAGAATCTCCAGAGGAAAAGAAACAAGGCCAGGGACCACCTGGTGCAGGAGATGCAGAAGGACTTGTCCAGAAGGTAGGATCAGGTCCTGGGACTGCAAAAGAAGATGTTGGAATAAAACCAGCGGAACCAGGCTGTAGCATGGGCCATGTGGGAGACATAGAAAATGATTGCCATGGATTACATTGACCACAACCAGGCAATGAGGGAGCAGGACCACTATCTGCAGAGGCAGGGGCAGCTCCAGGCACCAGCGCAGCAAGCGCGTGCCTGGGACGGCAAGCCGACAGGGGCGGCCTGCCGGTTGCTGTGATGGTGGCAGTCAGGCGGCCTTCAGCGGCATGCCTGCGGGAGGTCTGCTGGTTCTGTGGTTTCGGCAGCGGGTACGCCGAAGCCGCGGGACCGGCAGATCACCTGCAGAAATGCTGCCGAACCCGCGTGACCGCGGACCGCCCACAGGCATGCTGCCGAAGGCCGCCTGACTGCCGTGCTTGGGGCGGCAAAAAACATAGAGCCGCCCCTGTGCAGAGGCAACTATTCAAGCAGCAGCTTTGCATGTATGGCCAGCAGAACATGACATCTAGCCCCTGCCATGATCCAACCCGGTCAATAGCCTCCTCTCCACACTATCACATCCTGCAGCCAATAGACAATTCCAGGTGTGGAATAAGCCACTCAATGCAATTCACAAATGGACATGCATGTGGGGTATATGTACCCAATACACTGCATCCCTGGGGGAAGGAAAACAGGTGCGTTGATGCTGTGCAATTCCATTCCAGGGGATGCTACACTGACTGGCTTTATGATCTGTTTTCTCTGCACTTACTTTCTTCAGTTTGTGGCAGTTGGACTGTCTGTACTGCTGACTTTTCATACATTATTTTGCTGTTCTGTCCCTCTGTGTGTGAGTACATGGAGAAACAAGAAAGAATTTCAAAGCAAAGATTTTAATAAAGTCTGAGGTTAATAATATGTAAGCAGAGTCAGGATAAGCTCTACCCTGACATCTGGTGGTGAATTATGGCGAGTGTGGAAAAGAACTTCAGAGGCTGATCTTGTTTGCATAGGCACACCCACCCGCCTAGCCTGGGACAACAACAACTGAAAGTGGTTACTTTGGTTGGTGTGGGATCCCCAGTTTCTCTGTTATTGGGGCAGGAAGAATAAAGTGTTGTTACCCTGATTCTGTGAATCAAGGCCAGTGGAACTGTTATATGACAGAGGGACTCACCAGTAACTAAGTAGCACTCACTAGACAAGGGGCATGGGTTACAAAACCCAGTGAATTGAGAGAGGTTGGGGACAGGTATGTGTATTTGATGGTATGGGCTGCTTTTGAGGGCCTGGAACACTAGTTGCACTACCCCCTCTCTCCACTGTTGAATAACAGAGCTAAGTTTGCTTCCATTAGGAGTCTAGCTAGATGTTGCTGAACTGAATTTACTTTGGGCCAATGGTGCACCAGCACTGGGGCTCCCCTACTATAAGCTGAAATCACTAAAAGAGCTAAAATTGCTGAGCTGAGATCACTGAGTGCTGTGTTAACCAGTGGGGGAGCCTGAAGATATATTGCTAAGCAGCTGGCAGAGCTGAGCAGTTTGTGGGACGGTTGGAGCAGCCCATGGAACAGCGAGCGGAGCTGAGCCATTTGCGGGGGCAGCTGGAGCGGTTCATGGGATGGCTGGTGGAGTGGAGCGGCTGGCAGAGCTGAGCAGTTTGCGGGGACGGCTGGAGGAGCGGCGCGGCGCGGCTGGTAGAGTGGAGCCATTCATGGTAAAGGCTGCAGCAGAACTCCACGGAGAGGTGGGGCAGTCGGCCTCAGACCACGTAACATCCCGTGTACCCCCCCACCATTTCTGCCCAGGCTGGGGGGCAAAACTTTGCAGATAAACTTTTGAACTCTGGTGCAGCACTGACCAGGGACAGAGACTTTGGGGTTGTTGGACTTTGGGGTGATTGGACTTAAGACCCTGAGGGGAAAAGGACACTGCCAAACTTACCTGGAGGTGGGTCTTTTGCTCATGTTATGAATCCTGTTTGTGGTGTTTCCCCAACATAATGCTGCATTGTTTCCCTCCTTTATTAAAAGGCTTTTGCTACACTCAGACTCCGTGCTTGCGAGAGGGGAAGTATTGCCTCCTAGAGGCGCCCGGGGGTTGGTATGTAATTGTCCCAGGTCACTGGGTGCGGGCTCGCGCCGGTTTTGCATTGTGTTATTGAAACTGAACCCCTAGATACTGAACCCGGCCCTTGTTGCTGCCAACTCAGAGGGGCAGAAGGGTTACAATACATAAGTGATTATCTCTCAGGGAAATTGATAGAGTCCACTAATGTTGCACCCACATTATCCTTCCCCCATTTTCCCCTTCAAGCTGGGGGGTGGGGCACAAAAGGCAGCTCATATTTCCCTTGCTCTTCTGACCGAGCCTTAGTTATCAGAGGCACACTTTCTGCTTTCCTTTGCCTTCTAATGTAATACTTGAGTTGGGAGTTCCTGGAGTTCTCATTTAGATTTGTTTTTTATCACTAATTATTAACTCCCTCTCTTTGTGTGATGCTGGACAGTCTTTATATGTTGGTTGAGCTGTCACTTAGAATAGCTATGTTCTCAGCAAAATCTAGATCTTCCAGGGTATCATTGTTGCACCATGTGATACCTCTGCTGTATCTTTCTACACCTGTTCTCAGAATGGCAGTGACAAATAGGAGAACTGAGAGGTGTTGTGGATTGGGAACACATAACACTCACTGACATGAGGGTTCCCTTTGTGTGCGCATGTGCAAAAAGGGAATCTTTTGATCCCTTTTGGCTTCCTGACGCAGTACTGGAGCCCAGCTGTGTCTGCCTTTCATTCCTGGCTTTCTTTCTCAAGGCTGCCTTTACAAGGTAAAGGGCTGAAAGATTGCTTTATTATTGTTATGGTATTAATCAAAGAAAGCTTTGAGTGGCCTATATGTTTCTTGTTCCCTCAGATCAGAGGACCAGCTGGAGGGCATACAAGAGACACAGCTGTCAGGTTTCCTGGGGCCATAAGGCTGCTCCACAGGTGTTACTCTAACCCACACTAAAACTGGAGGAGTTGATAGATGTGCACAAGAGGTAGCTCACTTAAATTCAAAGATGATCTGTTTCAGTAAAAGGGCTTGAGTGTCCACTTCCAATGCCACATCCAGTTTCAAAGGCAACTGTTTTCATTTAAGTATCAGAGGGGTAGCCGTGTTAGTCTGAATCTGTAAAAAGCAACAGAGGGTCTGCCTCTGGAGATCCATTACTTGCATCTGAAGAAGTGAGGTTCTTACCCACGAAAGCTTATGCTCCCAGTACTTCTGTTAGTCTCAAAGGTGCCACAGGACCCTCTGTTGCTTTTTACAGGTTCAGACTAACACGGCTACCCCTCTGATCCAACTGTACAGTTACTTCTCAGTTGTGCATTATATATTGCATGATAATGAGTTATTCTCTG